AACACAAGAATTGGCAGATGGAGTTCCCACAGAAGAGGGACTGCTATGAGAGAACTCTTTAAACGTTTGATCAAATCTGTACCAGCATCGGTTCATTAAGTGACCTATTTTACCGCAAAGTTGGCATTGAAGCCGAGGCTTGCCACGACCACGACCTCCTTGGAGGTAAGCAGAAGCATCGAGAGATGGCGCAGAACGAACTGCCCTTTGCACCGTCTAATCGGCTACTTGAAGGTTCATAAGATTTGTTCTGACTGATAAATTATTAGCCTCCTCAAAGCCGTTGTTGTAGTTATGCATCAACTAGTACTGACGTAACACCATCCAATGTGAATGGCTCTCTGCTAGCAGTGATTACTGCAATGAAAGGTCGGTATTCATATTGCAAACTGTTTAAAATGGTTGCCACTTGTTCATACTCAGTTATCGGACAGCCACACGAAGCAAGGGCATCACATATCTCTTTGACTTGAGAAATTAAGGCTCTCATACTCATCTCGCCTTTGAGAATAGCCTTCAAGCGATAATGCATGTTCATTATCGTAGTTGTCGATTTGCCAACAAAGAACTTAGTAATTGTGGCCCACAACTATGTCAACACCAACCATGTGGGGAAGCAGAGAAGGGCTCATGGTTGAGAGGAGCTATGAGGCAAGTGAACTGTCTTTGCAACGAAAATTTCATACACCTCATTTTCAACAACCGTACCATCGTCCAATACTTTCGTTGTCGGAGGAGGTGTGACTGCCCCTGTGAGCAGTTTCTCAAGTTGATGACTACGAAACTCCAGAAGCACTTGTTGTTTCCATAAAAGAAAGTTATGTTCATCTAAGACTACACTGAGCCTTTTATTGGTGAAGATTTTCTGTAGCGCCACTGATGATGCCTCCGTGTCCCCCATTGAACCGCAAGGAAAAAGAGAGAGAGAGAGACTATGGAAGACAGATTCCTCAAGATCCCAAAGCATCCGATACCATGTTGAAAACTTTCGTTTGTAAACGTACTAATTAAGTGTCTTTCTTTTATTCCATCAAAGAAAACTCTTTTTATACTCGTACAGGGAACTAAATGGAAGAGGGTTACGAACCTATCTAACATTATCTATTAACTAACAACTTTTGAAATTGAAATTCAAAACATTATCTCTTAACTAACAGCTTTGAATTATCTCATAGCTAACATGTTTAAGGTAGACCAGCCAGTTTGGTGAAGAATCCATGGATTCTTGTGGGAACAAATAAGGCTGATGCACTACTGAAAGCCTTTAGAGATGAGTCTATGCCTAATATAGCTCCTGGGGATCGAAAGACAGATTATCCTTTCATGAAAGTGTGCAAGATGCAATTCTTTTCCCTTCAATCAGCAAGTATTACCACTTTTTAGTACTATTTTCTTGTGATAATATATTGTGCACGTTAAGATTTAAACTCGTATCTATTTAGTATTGATCACTTAATTATGTCTTAAAAATTTTCGTACCTTGTGTTAATCTTGCGTCGTATTTGTATTTCATATGCTTTCTAATTTGGATTGCAGGAAAGTTATGTGGTTCGAGCAAAGCCTGAAGTTGAACCGGTAAGCCTGGACAATATACCAAAACCAATAGTTTTCCATGATGGTCGGCTTGTTCAAAAACCAACTCCTTTCAAGGCACTTCTAATCATCCTTTGGATTCCTTTCGGCTTCTTCCTTGCCTTATTTGACCCTATCTTCCTCTCCACGGCTTTAGGCCATCCGGTACCCACCGCAACATACTCCTTGTCACGATTATCCGAAATCATCCCCCTATCAAGACAGCTCTTCTTGGCCGTGACCGTGCCAAGGATGCTTCCATGATAAAAGAACTTCTGCAAGAAGGCGACCTAGTTATTTGTATGGGATCGGGGGATCGGCATGTCTCGGAAGTTCTAAAACTTGTTCACAATAACTTGTTGTATGGGATCGGCTTGTTGAGTGGAGCAACTGTGCTCCCCAACAGATTCATATTTACCAGAACGATCCCTTTCCCTCGAAGCCATGAGTGGTGCGAACAATGGAATACCCAAAAACGGGATTAACCCGTTGTTCTGCGTTTGTTGTCGTCAGAAGAGAGGAGCTCTCAATCTTACGAAGAAGACTCCCATGATTAACTATGATCTCAGATAACTCAGGCATCATCGTTAGTATGTTACGAATATGGAGGACAACAATTACGGGTAGATAGTCATTGTCTAATTGATTAACAATAGTAATCAACAAGTTTATATCTGAAATAGGACAACTGATTAACACAAGATCTGATGCAACATCTTACATGTCTTTCATGAATTCATATATATATTTGGAACCATACAGATTGTGAACCAGCATTAATTTAAGATTAAAAATACGATAAAAAAACTTGTAACCGATATATCTTATGTAGATTTAGTAGTAACCATGGGCAGAATAAATGGCTGAACCATATGGTCATAACGGTCAAGAAAAGAATTTATGAGGATTTAGTCTTGATGATACCCTAGAAGGTATTTAAAATTAGTCATCTTGGCCGCGGCATCAGAAAATTGGGATGGATCATGGTATGATCCATCAATATAGCATATCAAATAAATATTAATGAGTGTAAGCTTCACTTGCTGACACCATATATGAAAGTATACTAACATAAATTTAATCGGAAAGTTTATTGGTGCCTTAAAAACACACTGGTGACAAGCGCGAAAGCCATAGCAAATATACAATAAAGAAAGAATAAAAAAAATCACTGGAGGTTCGACAAAGGTAGTAGTGTCAATAGGAGCACTTGCCCCAACGCCACCAATCTATCGACTGCCTCATTTTGTTCCCTTCGATGTGTTAAATTCAATTGCAGTGATTAAAGCATTTCTAGCAAGACCCTCAGATGTGTTATTATTGATCCGAACAACTTCGATATTATCCGTTTTAAACTCCACAACTCTGAACCCTAATCTCCAAGCACGTAGAAGAAAATCACTAGTAGCCCAAAACTCAGCTATGATGGTGGAGCACCTTCCTAGACTTCGAGAAAAACCGACGATCCATTCCCCTTCATGATTCTGGAGAAGGCCCCCCCGCAGCCGCAGCTTTATCACCAGGATAAACTGCTCCATCCGAATTGGCTTTAATCCATCCACTAGGTGGTCGAATCCATTTCAAAAGAGGTTGATAATCTGGTTTGTACCTGCAGATTGCTCATTTGCTCTAATTAATTTCAGCAGTAAATCAATCACAAGGATTAAATAAATCTTCCTTTTCCACGTACTCCGGATCAAAAATAACGTTACACCGATGCTTCCATAAGTGTCAACAATTAATAAACAGTAAACCGAATTGACCAGTTTTCATCATTGATAGCAAACGTACCGTGTGAGCGTAGGTTAACCTCAATCCATTCATGACATGAAAGTGTGAAAAATTCAGAATGTTTATCAGTTTTTATTACTCTCGGCCAAATAGCTCCAGCTGAAGTGCAATGGCGAAGCACGTGGTCAATGTCTTCAACAGCTCTTCCACAAATCTTGCACACGGTAGAGTTGGAGAGATGTCTCCTATTACACTCAGCATCAATAAGTAAGCGATCATGCATCACAAGCTAAAGGAACACCCTTATAAGTTGAGTGACTGCTACCTTCCAAATAAAACCCGGTTATCACCATCCTCCAACACAGTAAAGGAATTATAAGCAGATTTTATTGAAAACCGTTTGTCCGTTTCCCATCGCCATCCAGGGGTATCCGGCCCAAGTTGCTCTTTAGGCGGAGGCACAGTCGCAATGCACTGAAGCATTACCGGGGAGTAAAGTTGAGAAATCGATGAATGTCATTATTACAATATACGAGTATATATATAAGATATACAAGAGTTATTAAGTGATTAAATTACTATTATTTATCTCTAATACTTTCTATCTTAATTAGTAACATCGTCTTGGATCATCAGGTTCAAGGGCAAGTTGTAAACTCTTACTCAGAGATAAGAAGTTGAGAAATAGATTTGTTAAAAAAAACTGTAAAACGAAGATAAAACATTTTCTTCTACATTTTTGGACAATCTAGTTGAGTGGTCCAAGCTTTTTCGTTTTCTCCAAAACGGCTTCTCCTGCTAGAGAATATTATTTTCAGGTTAAGGGGTCCATCAACTCAAAATCGATAATTAAATCCTCCCGTGGTTAAGGATGGGACAGGGACTTTGCTGGTCGGAGTAAACATAAGTGGTTGTGTCTTCAAGCAGGTGGGGGCGATGCTTATAAAACATCCATTTGTTTTCGTCAATGCCTTCTTCCGCCGGAAAAACAAAACTTCCGGGAAACATCCATTTGTTTTCGCTGTAAGACATTTTCAGTAAGCGACAAATAAAGTTTAAAGGCTTAATTTATAAATAAAGTTTCAATTCAAGTTACATGTCGTCATTTTATTAATTGAAAGTGACAATCTTATTAGTAATAAGGGCTGGAATAGATGAGGGAAGTATAATTTAAGATCACTTTTGATTGAAAATCGAAGGATAGATGAAAGCTCAAGTTTAATATACTGCTTAAGCTTATTTATTATAGTTTAAAGTGAAATATATATTGATTATTTACAAACTACATATATATATATATATATTTAATTAATTTCTACCAACAACCAGTTGGTCTAGTAGGGTGAGACACTAGGTCCCTTAAGAAAAGGTCAGGGGTTCGAACCATGACGTTTGCAAATATAACAAATTGAGTTGAGAGGGTTACTCTTGTCTCTGCAGTACCTAATCTAGATTAGTCGGTCAATAGATCAGATACAAGTGATTAATTTAAAAAAAATAATTTCTAAAATTAATTCGAAAATAGAATTGAAGTTGATAAAAAGTAATTTTACTTAAATAGATTAGCTCTCACCCTTTTCTTAAAGTTGGCGCAAAAAACAGCCATTGGCTGGAAAGTGCTAAACGCATCGTTTTCGTTTATGGTTCTTCGGCCAGAAAAAGAAGAAAAGAAACTTCGAGATTTTTTTTTACGCATTTTGACATTTCCACTAAGCGACAAACATAAAGTTCGTAAAAGTCCAAGGACGAGTCTTGGAAATCGTCCATGATCTCATCTCTGTAATTCTATTAGACAAAGGGTTCTTATTTTTTTCCAAGGTGATGGATTGTTGGAATTTTCTGGGGTTCTTTCTTCTTATTTCCCTTCATCTCTGTTCGGGTTCGGCTGAGATCAATGGATCGGTTCTTCAAATGAAAATAGGAACTTCTTCTGTTCCACTTGACCCCACTCGTGTTACTCAACTCTCTTGGCACCCTAGGTAGATCTAATTTCTCTCTTCTTTTTAGCATTTTATAAATTTTCCCCAGTGTGATTTAGTCAAAACTGTGGAATTTACGGTTTTTTTTGCAGGGCGTTTCTCTATAAAGGATTTTTATCAAGCGAGGAATGTGATCACCTTATTACTCTGGTAATTAACAATTTTTTTACTTGTTTGTTGAAGAATATCGATTTGTGATTTTAACCCCTTTTTAAAAAAATGAGTGAATTTCAGGCTAAGGATAAATTAGAGAAATCAATGGTGGCTGATAATGAATCAGGCGAAAGCATTGAAAGTGAAGTTCGAACCAGCTCTGGCATGTTTCTTCAGAAATCTCTGGTATTGTAAATTACCCTTTCCCCCCTTTTGATAAGAATTTCATCAGCTCCAAAAGCAAAGTTTTGCTGCGAAGTATAACTGAGAAATGCTAAACTAAGCCCCGAATCCTAGAGTTGTGTAGTCAATTACCTTTTTTTTTTCTTTTACATATAATTTTCATGTTTTTTGTGTTCTTCATAAGTAACCAATTTTTGGATGGTAGTTTGTCACAGATGATGCACTGGATGTGTTTTTCCCTTGGTGATTCATTCACACTTAATGTTAGGGCAACTTCTTTACCAAAAGAATCCTTCTTCATTGAATGTATTGGATGTTAAATATAATAGTTGGACTCTTTCTTACTGGCTTATGCATTTGGGATTATTGATTTCCGTTAGCATTGTATTAGAACTCTCGATTTTGAATCCCGATAAATACTTTGGTTCACATGCAAATCCATTAATCATTCATCCTGCTTGTAGTGAGGTCCATTTTTGAAGTTTAGGTATAATAGTTATGTTCTATCTTAGCGGCTTAAGCCTTGTGGATAGTTGGTCCCTCAATTTAGAAGAAAGAAATGTTGAAAAGAATTTTACTTATGATTGCTCCCATGGATGCAATCATGATTGGTATCAGTTACACGTTTCATTTAGTTTAGAGATTGTTTACTTAACGCTAACAGATTCTAATTGTTTACGTTTATGGACCATGTTTGGAAAGTGTTGTATGTGCTTGTTCTTGAAGTTCAAATGCTTATCTGGTGTCCTCTATTTCTCATCTGAAGGATGAAGTAGTTGCTGATGTTGAAGCCAGGATTTCTGCATGGACCTTCCTTCCAGTAGGTATGTTTTGCTGGTTGCTTGTTACTCTCTACAATTTCTTACTCTGTGGAAAGATATTTTTCTAATCTTACTTTAATACGGAACCCCAAACAGAGAATGGGGAATCCATGCAAATACTACACTACGAGCATGGTCAGAAGTATGAGCCACATTTCGATTATTTTCATGACAAGGCTAACCAAGAGCTGGGTGGTCACCGTATTGCCACAGTACTCATGTATTTGTCTGATGTTGAGAGTGGTGGGGAAACCGTGTTTCCGAATTCCAAGGTAAACATTTGACTTTGAATTTCTTTTTTGTGTGAGCTTTCTTCATATTCTATCACTGTAACATTTCATTTTGTTTTGTTCATCACTCATCAATTTGATTTTATGTAGGGAAAATTTACTCAGCTCAAGGACGAAAGCTGGTCAGATTGTGCCAAAAATGGATATGCAGGTATTATCATGAACCTGTTAATAAAAAACTGTTTTTGATTCCAACTGATATTAATCTCACTTGAGTGAACAAGTTTATGAATATAAAAGTAAATTATTGTATTTGATTTAAATTTTATTTTGATCTCGATCTTCTTTGATATAGCAGTGAAATTATGTTTTTCCATTGTTCATTTTTTTTCTTCCGAATATTATCCCACTTGCATGATTGGCTTGTGGTCTGTATTCCAATGAATTCTCCGGATTTATACGTAACTTCTGTACCATGCTCCTAGCTTTTTATTTAATTGTTCTGGTATAAAATTGCTGCGTTAGAAATCCAACTATATAATCAACCATTTTTATAATCCTCAGTACCTGACACTATTGTTCTGGTCGTTCTTGCAGTGAAACCCAGAAAAGGCGATGCTTTGCTGTTCTTCAGTCTTCATCTAGATGCAACACCTGATTCCGACAGTTTGCATGGAAGTTGCCCAGTGATAAAGGGTGAGAAATGGTCTGCGACAAAGTGGATCCACGTCAGGTCTTTTGATGTATCAAAGAGACATTCTGAAAATGGAGATTGTGTTGATGAAAACGAGAACTGCCCTATCTGGGCTTCAACTGGGGAGTGTGAAAAGAACCCTGCTTATATGGTGGGTTCTGAAGACGCTTACGGATACTGTCGGAAGAGTTGTAAGGTATGCTCCTCGTAGAATGTTCTTTCCTGGCTGTTCCCAAGCTTTTTATAGATCAGTAGTTACCATTTTAATAACCGTATATACAGACATCTTTGAGTTAATGCTCAATGCACACTCATATCAGAGGATTTGTATCTTTTTACCGTGGAATGTCATACATTATACTGAAGATGGTTATTAGTTATTATTGTATCAACTTTATTTTGTTCTTACCTTTCACAAGAAAACAAGTTTGAAGCAAATTCCTTCTGTGTACCTTCCAAGAGAGAGAATGGAAACAAAACACAACAATGAAAACAAACATATATGAATCATATGTTGAAGCAATCAGTATTAGTTTCATCAAGAAAGAAAAGGTGCAAAACAAATACATCTCTTGAAGATACAAGAACCAGCAGCTTGACATGTTTCTGGGTATCCCACAAACTATTTATAACAGATAAAAAACCCAGCTCTACATTGATTCATATCTTGGTCATTGAAAATCAGAGGGAAATCATCAAACTGTTCTGTAAAACCTTTTTCCTCGGCCATGGTTTGCAATGACTGATAAACCTTGAACATGGACCATCTGTTCTTTGGCTGAGGAGCCACGCAGTCGCATGCAATTTTGACGAACTGCATAATTCTTCGTCATGGCCTTTCCCGTAGAGATCTTTGTCGATGACATCTTTGATTCGACCGGAGTTCGAGAGATGATTTACCCGATTCACCAAATCACCTTTGAATCCTTCTCCACCTGCATTGACCTCTAGGGGTTTTTGCCTAGTTACCAATTCGACAAGCACGGCACCGAAGCCGTACACATCGGATTTTATCGAAGCAACCATGGTGCTTGAACTCTCCGGTGCTATATTATCATGTTTTTGTTTCATTTTATTATCATGTTCTAGATTTAACATTCAGTTTTGAAGAAAATGAAAACTTAAGTACTAAAACGGGTCAAAATAGACAGTTTAAGTATTAAACGCATTAAGTATTTAACGTCGGTTACTAAAATGAAACAAAAACTAAACTTTAGGTATGATTCTAAAAAATTAAAAGCTTTTATATTAAAATAGTTTAAATACTAAACGTATAATTTACCCTAAATTTAACGGTAATGCATGGCCTCCAAGCAAACCACAGTCTGCACTAAGCCATGAAGTCAAGTGCATCTTGTTATTTTTTTAAAAATAATTTAATTTAATTTAATGCGTTAACAAAATAGTAAAAATTGAAATAAAAATTGTACTCCTGTTATTTTTAAAAAATTAAAATTTTAAATTTTATTTTTAAAATTTTTGAATCCGTCAAACCACTTTAACAATCAAACGAGTAACGGCTCCTGTCTGTGTCGAAATCCAAGGAGGTTTTGGTGGAGAATGGTAACGAGAACGAAGCATATCTGTACGAGAAGTTATGGTTAAAATAATCACCGTCGAGGACGCCGTTTTGTCCCGTCCCTTCGTCGAAATTGAGGGAGTAACTCAGCGGATCGTAATGGAATTCCTTTCCTCTGTTACGAGCTCTGTTCTTTTTGAACCGCCGCAAAAGCGTCTTCCATTTCGTTACGGCCACCGTATCCGACCATTCTCGGAGCCTCCTCCACCGTCGCGTCCAACATGTCTCTTTGTCGATCGACTGCGTGGATAAGGTGGAGTTGTTGTCGTTCACCGCCAACCACTGCAACCAGATCGATCCGTGACAAGGCATACAAAAGCAACAGTCTCCGTTCACGAACTTAACATCGTGGATGTCTCCTTCGTCGTCTGCGCCGCCGAGCGCATCCCTCTCCGTCTTGTTCTGAGACGCCATTTTCATGGGAGAGGCGAAGAAACAGTTAAGAAGTTTCTGTTAAGGTTAAGGAGAAGGGAGAGAATTTCTCTCACCTTCTCTCGCTTTCTCAAAGAAGCTTATCAATTAAGAACTTCCTTCCATGAGAGAGAATTTTGCAGTTACATCTCCATTACCAAAATGTTCGCTTTGTATAGAGTAAATTTTAGAAAAAAAAGGACGAAAATTTTGGAGGATATTCAAATGCTTTATCAACGAACAGTAAACAGCGTTAATATCGTGTTGATTCTATTTTAATCATTCATCAATGAATAATTAATAATAATAATATATTATTGTAAAATAATATTATACTAATGCTAAAAATAATTACAAAAATATCACATCAATATTATTATTAATTTTTAAAATTTATATTTTCAATTCGTTTGTTATTTCTATAATTTTTAGATCGGATTATAATTTTTATATTTTTAAAAATATCACATCAATGATCTATTTTAACCATTCTAATTTTGTTTGAGATTATAGATCATAAATATCTAAATGATCAAGTATATTGTTACTGATATGATTCTTCTAAGCACCAAATTCAAACAAAACACGCTCGCAACTTTGAAGTTCTTCCAAAATGATTCTACGAGAGTTTTTGTTTACTTACTCATTTATGCATTATATGTGACATATGTATGCTTTAAACATATTATATTATGCTGAATATTCATATGTTATCCATTACTTGCATACTTTGTGATATTCATGTATATTACATCTTTACTTAAGCATATGTCATAGCTATGTTAACTTATGTACTCATTTTACCTTAATTCATACATAATCATTCTATACTTAGCTCATTTGCATTCAAACATGGGCTGGTTATGTTAACTTATGTATTTATTCTAACTCAATTCATACATACACATTCTATATTTAGCTCATTTGCATTCAAACATAGGCGGCGATATGCATTCATTGTCCAAGCTTAAATCCTATCTAATTTCTTATTTTCATGCTTTACATTTATACGTTGGAAGCTAAGGCTAGCTCATGGATTGAAAATACAAACCTTGGCAGCTCATATTAACTCATGAAAGTGTTATGCTAGCTCACTTAGCTCAAGGGAGCTTAATGAAGCTCAAAGATTAGCTGAATAAGCTGAAGGGGAGATGAACTTAGCTGGAGAGTAATTTGAAAGACTAAAGGGAGTTGAACACATTCAAGGTGTACAATGTGAACACATTAATCCAGGGGGACAATTCACGTCAGTCAGATTACTAAAGGCAGTGCATGCTAGAAAGTCATACGGGATTTACAACAATTCATCACCTTTGGACATGAGGAACTAAAGTACATTCAAGAAGACTAATGTGAAAATATTAAAACGGTGGCAACCAATTGAACATAACCATTCAACCATATAAAGAATCCATGCATTCAGAACAATACATTCGACCATATACATTCAACTAAGGCAATCGATGAGTCATGTTCACACTTCAGGGGAAAAGAATATCAACCTTCATAAATTCATTAACATAATTGGCGAGCACATTCAGAGAACAAAAGGAGAATGAATCCATTCATGAAACGCATGGAACCAATTGCATGAAGGGAACTGATGAGTCATGTTCACACATAGAAGTCAAGTACATGCAATAAGCTTAATTCATGAGAGGAAATGAACCAACATGTTTGTAATCATCATCTTTTATACATTTGTATTATTTTTTTTATTATTTAAAAAAAAAGAACAAAAAGAAATCCCAATGCAGATTAGGGCATTTGATGCATAGTAATGGTCCCAAAAGTGACTCATAAGTAGTCCCAATAATCGAAAAACACTTGTCTAAAGAGGAAGAGAAGTTCATAATGAGAATAACTTATTCAACTTTTTATCAATTACAAAAGGAAATTGATCAGCATTTCCAACAAGACATTCATAATTTCCAATGAGGCATTCATAATAAAAAGAACTTGGAGAAAGTCATGTAGGAGAGCTTATTCAACCTCAACGGTTGCCTTTACAGAAGAGTAAAAAACTCATAATGAGAAAAACTTAAAGCTTGAGATTTGTTGGCAGTCCGACCGAATAAAAATTGGTGCTTAATGTCTTTGTCCAATTCATGTTTTACATTGATGAGTGACAACTGTAATCACCATTTTTTATCTATTTTTATTATTAAAAAAAAAGGAACAAAAAGAAATCCCAATACAAATTGGGATCCCAACAATGACTCATGAGTAGTCCAACAACTAAGAAGCACACCGTCAATCCTCTCCTCGCCACGCATGCAACAGTGACTCATTTGCTGGCCTGCTCCGGACTAGGCGCCTAATCCACTGTTCCTTCAACAGCACCACCACAGCCCCAGTCAGCACCAAATCAGCCATGTAATTAGACAAAAAGCAAAGAAATTAGAAATATTGTATTTTTACTTTTGTGTCCTGGTGTAATATGGGTTATAAGAACACAAACAATATTGTAAAATAGGAGAGAGTTTCCCCGATTCAATAAAATCTGGAATACAAAAGAATTGGGAAAGGTAGTTTCCTTCGGGATCCTTTTTTATTTTATTTTCTGTTCTTTTTCTTTATAAAAGGTGTGAATGTCTGTGATTCTAGAAAAATAATGATAAGCAAAAGGGAGTAGTTACCTTAGTTTGGAACCCTCGACGGGGCCTCTCGGGTCTTCGTCCATAGCTGGTTGAGACCTCATCACCAGGAAAGTCACCAGAGTTGTTGAAGCCGAGAGATTAAAGGGCTTTCGTGAGTTTGTAGATAGAGGAAAGAGGAGGGGAGTGCATTCTGTTCCTTTAGAAAGGGAGAGGGGCCCAAATTGTTTGGGTTTCACTGAAAATGACAAAGAGTATGCTTTAAAATCATTTTTGGGTTAATATCATATAGGGTTCCTCCATTTCTTGTCATCTTTTACACTGGTCTCTTAAAGTGTTGGGTTATTCACGTTCAAGTCCTCCAGCGTCAACAGTATATTTACGAATGTGTCACCTATCTGTAGTTTAAGTTGTTTGGATTAAACCTTGGTTTAGTCCCTCTGGTTTCAGCGCCTATTTATAAAATGGTTTCTTCTTTTGGGTTTTATCACGTAACGGTCCCTTTATTTTCAGCTTGTGTTTACACTTCAGTCACCATCCCTTTTTTATTTATTCCAAGTTTGATACATCATTTTTGTGTTTATTTCATTTTTCTCAATGCCTATTCAATTTATTTACATTCGACTGTGTTGCTTTGATTATTTATTTATGTTCGATACCATGCACTGTTTTTTTATTTTTATATTTATTTGGTTCTTTTTTATTTTATTTTTATTTATTAACCACTAACTTTACTTATCACTCCTAATATGTGTTCGATCTAGTGGTGACTCATCCCGGGGTAAGATTCAAGTTGTTATGGTTCGGGATTAAAATATTAATTTCTAATATTAATTTTCGTGCACTTCATTTTCTGTTTTCATTTATTTATGCACTTTAATTCAATTTATTTATGCACATCAACTTTTCGTAATTATGTTCGAATTATTTTTCCACATTTAAATCTCAGCTTCACTAATCATTGCAATAACATTAATGCTTGTCTACTTTTTCAATTTTGGCATTTTATTTTTCATTTTTCATTTATCTTTATTTCTATTTGGCTTTCCATATTTACTTTATTTATTTTTATTTTGGGGCTTACTTATTTATATTTCATCATGATGTTTATACATTTTTGTGTGTCGATATTATTTTGTAAATTTCCCATACGTTTTAATGTGAAATAAGATTGAACCGAGTGGGATTTCCTCTGTCTTAGATGTTAGGCAAGCTAAATTCTACCAATTTTATTTTGATGTCATGTAAAATTCTAACTATTATTTTCTATTAAAAAAAAGCTTCTTAAAGGAAATTCGATTTGTCTTGGATGTTAGGCAAATCGAATTTTCTTTTATAAGTTTATTTTACACATATTAAAAGTTACTTTATTATTAATAGTTTTAATTAAAATATTCAAAAGGGAATCTTTCTTGTTCTAGATGTTGAATGAGTTAGAGCCTTTATTTACTTTTTTAAGTTCGTATCTCCATATTTACTTTTTTAAGCATGAGAGACTTAATTAGAGAATTCAACACTTGATGTTAGGATTAGAGAACATTGGTATTTTTAGAATATAGAATGGTTAGTTTTAAAACATTGAATGGATAGTTAACCTTTTTTTATATATATTCTTCAATACTCTATTCACATTAGTTTAAACAAGATGTGCTCTCAAATTAATTGAACATTCAATATATTTTTAGATGTTGGAGGATTTTGAGGTCATTCGATGAGAGAACATATCAATTATTTTTTTTATAAAAAAATCATGTGAATTTTTGGACTTTGAGGAATATCTCTAAATTTTCTTAGACGTTAGAAAATTTTGAGGTGTTTTAAAGAGTTATAAGTTCTAAGTTTTTTGCATGGTTCATGAAAATCAAGGTGTTTCTTGAATGAGATTAAATTTCAATATTCTTCTAGATGTTGGAGAATACATGAGATTACCCATGAAAGACTTCACCCTCAAAATTTTATATAGATTAATTTGTGAATTTTTAGAGTTTTTATAGTATAATTTTGATTCTCTTAACCGTTAGAGAATTTTGAAGTTATTCTTGAGAATTTAAAAATTCTTAGTTAATCTAAAAATACATTAATTGCATGCATAAGTTGAGATAAATATTTGTGGTCAAATAAGCATCTTTTTACGAGCGTTGTGAGGGTGTTAACCCTTCCTCACACGTAATCATACCCAGGAACTTAATTTGATTTTCGTAGACCTAAACATTTTGGTGTTCCAATCTCACTTTAAACTGATTGGTAGCGACTCCATAACATTTCTTAAAGTACAAAACTAATTTTTTATTCAGCAGGTAAAAATAGTGTCGACAGCTTGGCGATTCCACTGAAATTTTTTTAGAGGGCACAACTTTTACTTGATCACGAATATCTTGTCTCTGATAATGTATTTGCATTATGTTT